GAGATTTTACACCCTTGGTGCAGCTTGCAGACAGAGTACTGCATGTCAGAATGGTCAGTCAATAGCTGCTGCTTTTGTAAATAAAGTTTTATTGGAACACAGCCATGCCCACAATTCCATACCACCTGTGGCTGTTCTGGCTCTAAAATGGTGGAGTTGAGTTGTTGTGACAGAAGCAGAGACTTTGGTGCAAAGCAAAAGATATTTACCACCTGGCTCTTTACAGAAACTCTTTGCTGACCCCCACCTTAGAGGCTGGCACACAGGGGCTAGTATTATCCCTGCCACTGCTGCCATTCCACTACCTGCATCTTGGGCCTAGTGAAGTGGGGGAGTGACTTCACCTTTCATGGGCTGTTCTTTCATTGTTTACATATGTGTTATGAGTCTTCCATGTACCACAGAAAAACAAATATATCAGGTTCCTGCCCACAGGGGCCTAGCTTCCAGTCTCCTGGGAACCACAGAAAAATCACCACTCACAGTGCCCTGGAACTGGAGTCAGGTGGCTGTGGGAGCCCAGGGGAGGTTCCTGATACAGCCTAAGGGAAGTCCAGGAAGGCTTCCTGGGGGAGGTGGCATCTGGATTTCGATCTGGAAGATGAGAGTGAACCAGGAAGTCAATTCTTATATGGCAGCTGGTGTGGAGAAAAGAGCAGGACCTTGGTTTGAAAAGGAGGGTCCCTGAGCCAGTTTCTTTACTTTCTGTTCTGGTTACCTAGTACCACTCTGACAAGAATATACCACAAATGGGATGGCTTTAACAAACAGGAGTTTATTCTCTTACAATTTGGAGACTTTAAGTCCAAGTTCAAAGTGCCAGGCTCTAGGGACTGGGTGAAAGCCCCTCAGCCTTGGGCTTCAGCTCTGCCTCCTGCTCCCGGCCCAGTGGAACTAGAGGCTTTTCTTCACTCAGACAGCTGCTGCCTGCTGAGACTGACAAACCCAAGGCTGACAGGTAAAAAGGCACAGTCCCTAAGTTACCAAACCACATGGCAGGCCATTAATTCAAGTCCATTGAAAGTCCCAGGATTGGCAGAGCATGGCAGGCTTCTGACCAATGACTTGGTTCCATGCAGGGCTCAAGCATGCCATAAGCTAGAGACCGTTCCCCAAGGCTTCTCCTTATATACAGGAAGCAGACCACATTCCTAAGGCAGCTACTCAGCTGTTCCCAGTAGATTCCACCATGGAGTTGATTACCAGTCTCATCATGGGGAATACTCCATCCAGCTGCCCAGCCACTCAAGCAAGCCCAGCCAAGTTGACACACAAACTTAACCACCACACCTTCCCAGGGCCTTCTTTCCTGCTCTGAAAAGTGGGGCCTTTGAGCCTCACAGTGTTGTCGGGAGAATAAACTCAGAGTTGTGTCCTGGCACGTGGCAGGCCTGAACCACCTTTGTCCTCTCCTTACTCATTCTCTGCATCCCCCAGCAGGGGCATGGCCGGCTCTGCTGTCAGAGAACTGCCTGAAAGGGTGGGAAGTGGCTGTTCAGCACTGTCTTCTCAGTAGTGACCAGCCAAGCTCCAGGAAGGCAGCAGATGATGGGGCTGGGGAGTAGGATGAGGAGGGGGGCCGGGAAACAGTCTCCAGCACTGAACCCCTCCCGCCGGTCTGTTTCTGCCTCTGCTCATTTTGGCCTCCCCCCTAGGTCTTGCTTCTGGGCTGCTTCCAGGGTCCACATCCCAACCACTGATCTTGGGGATCCAAGTAGACAGCTGTCCCCTCCCTGCCCCCACCTTGTTCCCTTGCCCACCTGGTTGGGGGCTGGTGTAACAGTCTGAGAGGGTTTCCAGGGCTACCTGTACACGTGCTGATGGAGGTGGGGGCGTTGTGTGCCCATAAATGTTTCACACCTAGCAGAGGAAAACCCTGATGGTAGCTTTTGCTGATTTCCATGGTGTAAATACACTGTGGCTGATTTCAAGGAGCTCTGGTGGCACTGTGGTTAAAGCATTGGGCTGCTAACCCAGAGGTCAGCGGTTTGAATCCACCAGCCACTCCGCAGGAGGAAAATGTGAGAGTCTGCTGCCTTAAAGATTTCCAGCCTTGGAAACCCTATGGGGCAGTCCTACCATGTCCTGTAGGATTACTATGAGTCGGAATTGACTCAACAGCAGTGGGTTTGATGGGGGCCGGTTTCAAGCTACCAACATGATGTCAAACTGCTTACAAAATTCCTGAAAATTTAACAAGTGACTCTTTGAGCTGACACGGGCTGGCTCCAGCACAGCACAAGTGGGGTTGTGAGGACCTACCTGTGGCACCGGGAGAAACTCCCCAATGGGTGTGAGACTCCCCAACAGCAGTTGAGACCATGGACAGTAACTAGTGCTGCATAGGCATCATGAGACATGCTGGTTCACATCTGGCTCTGCAGCGCCCAAGCTGGGGCTCTTTGGGCAAGTACTGTCACTCTGAACCTCAGTGTCCTCTTCTGTCGAATGAGGTCAGCACTAGTTCCTACTCCTAAGGGGGTTATGCAGCGTTCATAAGACAATTTACATAAAGCATTTAGGGCAGGGCTGGCTTCATGCTAAGCCCTCAGCAAACACCTCTGTTCCCAGGCTGCCTCAACTTCCCCACCTGTGGGGATTCCCAGCAGGTGAGGGCCCCGGGTGCAGGGCTTGCCGCACAGCAGACCTTCCTCACCTTCCCCTGTCAGTGCCGAAGTCTCTCGGCACCAGGCTTCCCTGGCTCACCTCCAGTCTTGTGCGTCTTGGTCACTCACTCTACCGGACTTTCTCCCACCACGTGCTTTCAAGACATTGTCCCCTGAATCTCTGCCACAGCTTCAGAAGGAAGTCCTTTTCTGAACCTCCGATTTACAGGTGTGACCGCTGAGGCCCACAGCCTGTAAGTGGCACGGTAGGATTTGAACCCAAGTCTGTCTTTCTTGTTCCTCCTATGGGAGTGTGGGGTGAGAGGCACATAGAAGAGAAGGCTTGTGGGGGCCGACACGTTTGTAGGAGGGCTCAGAGTGAGGTCTCGGGAGGCCCTCGAGGGGACCTGCTTTTACAGGGTCGGCAAGTCCACAGTGAAACACCACTTTACATCCACTAGGATGGCTATTATTAAAAAAAAAAAAAAAATGAAAAGAATAAATGTTTGTAAGGATGTGGAGGAATTGGAACCCTTGTGCATGGCTGATGGGAATGTAACATGGTACAACTGCTGTGGAAAACAATTTGGCAGTTCCTTAAAAGGTTGAACATGGAATTTACCGTTTGACCCAGTAATTCTACTCCTAGGTATATCCCCAAAGAACCGAAAATGGGCTCCAGCAGACACTTGCATCTGTTGCAGCACTCCTTATTCATAATAGCCAGAAAGTGGAAACAACCCAAGTGTCCATCAACAGATGAGTGGGTCGTCAAGATTGTGGGAGACAGTCCCAGTATGTGGTGACATTTTCCAATCTAGAGACGGTTTGGAACAAAGAGATAGCCAGGGTTCTGGGTTGGCCTGGCTGCAGCCCTGTTCAGAAACAGGGAGATGGGTCCGAGGGTGCCAGTAATATTCCACTGAATGTTCCTCAGCCTTCAAGAACAGCAAAGTTCGGATGCACCCAAAACATGGATGGACCTTGAAAATGTGATGCTGAGCGAGAGAAGCCAAACCCCAACGGACAGATATTGTGTGATCCCACTTCAATGTCTGGGATAGGCAGATGCACAGAGACAGAAAGCAGATTCAGGGTGACCAGGGCCAGTGGGGGAGGAGGGGACTGCTTTATGGGTGCGGAGTTTCTGTTTGAGGTGGTGAAAATGTTTGGAAAGAAATAGTGGCATAGTTGCACGCATTGTCAGTATAATTAATGTCACTGAGATGTCCACTGAAACGTGGCTCAATGGCACCCTTGCTGTTGTTGGTACTTTACCACAATAAAAGTGAAAAACGAAAAACAGCAGAGGGCAGGTCTGGGCACTGGGCAGATGTGGCTTGACAGAGTTCATCCCTGCAGGTATGTGAGGGAGGTGGTGGGGTGGGGCTGGTGTAGGCCTAGCCTGGGCAGTGGGTTCCCTGGGATCCCAGGATTGACACCACCCTGGCTGAGGAGCAAGGTATGAAACTGAAGCAGGAGAGATTGAGGTTAGATACAGAGGAGAACTTTCCAGCTGCCTGTGCTCAAAGACACTGGGCTACAATCCCAAGGGATATGGTGGCATTTTCCAATCTAGAGATGGTTTGGAAAAAAAGAGATAGCCAGGGTTCTGGGTTGGCCTTGTTGCAGCCGTTTCAGAAACAGGGCGATGGGTCAGAGGATGCCAGCAGTCTTCTTTAAAACCCTCCATGGCTCCCTGTTGTCTTCATTTGGAAGCAAATCCAAACCCCTCCCTGGAGCTACCAAGGCCCCTCATGACCCGTGCTCTGCCGGCCTCTCTGAGCTCATCTGAACTTCCGTTTCTGATTACATTGTCTTCTTGTACCTCTAGGCCTTTGCCCATGCTGTTCCCTCTGCCTCTAACACCCTTCCCTCACCTTCCGGTAGCCAGCTCATCCTCGGCCTGTCGGCCTCATCTTGGCTGCCCCCGGGGCTGCACAGGTGATAGTAGATCACTAAAGATGACACTGAAGGCTGTTTGTCGTTGTCACTTCCCAGGGCACTAGGAGCCCTGGAGGACAGGCCTTTGGCAGTCTTACTCCACATTCGTCTATAGCACAGCATTTGGCACATAGGAGGTGGTCCCAGAGGGCTTGTCGGAGAGGGGAGCCTGCACGTGTCACTGGTGGAGAGGAGTAGCAGTGGGAGGTGAGGAGTAACTGGGGTGCAGGAGGCACCCCTCTCCCCACCCCCCTCTAGAAGGCAGCATTGCTCAGGTATTAAGAGAGTGTGGAACATAGAGACTTGGGTTGGCTGTTCCTATTGCTCTCTGAACCTCAGTTTTCTCATCGGTGAGCTGGGCCAGGACCAGCCATGCCTCTCGGGCTGTGGTGAGCACTGCCTAGGCGGTGGTCTGAGGCTGACTCTCCTGTCTTCTCCCTGCAGGTGACGGCCATGTCGGTGAGAGTGCGGTTCCTGTCCCCTGGGGACGCAGGGGCCGTGGGGATTGTGGGCCGGAGCGCCTCCTTCGCGGGCTTCAGCAGTGCGCAGAGCCGGAGGATTGCGTATGTTCTGCCCCTGCGGTGGGGGCGGTGGATGTGGTGGGTGCAGGGCTTGTTGAGGGCAGAGGAAGGGCATTTCCGTCCCATCCTCCATCCTGCTCTCATGCCAGGCTTGTAGCCCAGAGGAGGGAGGGAGTGTGTGTGTGTGTGTGTGTGTGTGAGAGAGAGAGAGAGAGTTTTCCTGAACAGATGTCATCCCAGGTGCTTCTGCAGTTGGTCCCTGGAGTCCATCTGCCTGAGTTAATCACTCCCATTTGGCCTCTCTGAGGGTCACAGAGGTAGAGTTACATGGCCAGGGTCACACAGGAAAACTGGTCCAGAGCTGGGACTCCATTTCCTAGGGGCAGGATGAGGATAGAATGTTCTTCCTGTTTGGTAGAATGGGAAACTGGGTCATCTAGCCCAGGTCTGTGATTGGGGCAAGTGACTTCACCTCTCTGAGCCTCAGTTTCTTCATATGAAAAATGGGGATCAGAGTGTCACTTCCTCATGGGCCTGTTGTGAGGGCTGATGTGTGGCAAGCTGCCGGCTCACAGCAGGTCCTGGTGGGAAGTGTTCAGTGAGAAGGAGCAGTGTCCACGGAGCTCAGCCCAGAGGTCAGCACTGACCCCCTGGAGGTGCTGGTGTGGGGCCTGCTGGCCAAGCTGCCCACGTGTCCCTGGGAGGAAAGTGGCCTTCCACTTCTGGAGGCCAGCAAGGGTTAGCCCAGGCCTGCCTCCCTTTCTGTCTTCAGGCCGTCTGACTAGGACCTGCCTGGCTCCTGGCAGGCCCCTGGGGGAGCTGCCTGCCAGCTGTCAGGGCTGGGAGATGGGGCAGCTTTTCAGGCCAGCATCCTGAGGGGACCCTCTCTGAGCAGATGGAGTGGTCAGGTGGGGGACCCCAGCAGGGCAGGCCAGGCCAGTGAGTCAGTCAACAAACCAGTTCCCAACAGGCCACACCCCCGCCTGAAATCCTGCAGGAGTTCTTAGCCTACTCAGAATACAATCCAAGCTCCACCCAGGGCCCAAAGGCCCCCAGGGATCACAGTAGGGCCTCACCCTTCACCCTGGGCTCCAGCCCCAGTGACCTTTCTGCGCTCCAGGCCTTTGCCTACACCCCTCCATTAGGACGCTCTTCTCAGTCCTGTTCGCCTGCCCAGGGTTCCAAGATCCCTGCTTAATCTTCTTCCAGCTTTGGCTTCAATGCCACATCTGCAGGAAGAGCCCCCAGCCCCAGATCCAGCTAGCTCCCCCCCCCCACTCCTGAAGCCCTTTCGTGGGGTCTGGTGGCTGCGCACAGACTGGCCCAGATACCAGTGTCCAGGCATGTGCCCCTCGTGTGGGGCCGCGCACACCTGAGGTGTGCCAGGAAGAGGTGGCAGCTGAGCTGAAACACTGGGGTGGTCCAGCCGGCGGCACCTCAGGGGGCCCCGACTCATCCCACAGGCATTTATGGAGTCCTCCCCCAGCCCCACCCTGTTCCAGGCTCTGGGGCCACAGCAGTGGTCCCATGGGGCAGCAGACCCCCACAAACAAACACCAGTCACTGTCAGTCCAGCTGGTGGCGAGTGCTGTTGGGGATATAAAACAAGAGGGTGGGACAGAGGGCTGTGGGGGTCTGTGGGCAGCCTCTCTGAGCCGGCATTTAAGCGGAGGCCTGAGGAAAAAGGAGGAGCCAGTTGTGTGGAGATGGCTGTGGGGGTGGGCAAGACATCCAGGCAGGGGAGGCAAGTGCAAAGTCCTGAGATCAGACTGAATGTTAAGAGCAGCAAATAGCACCCATGGCTGGGGGTATCACAGTGGTCAGAGAGGCCTCTCTGTGTGATGGGAGCCATGGAAGGGCTTGAGCAGAGGAACCGAGGCCCCAGGAGGGAAAAGCTTTGGCAAAAGCCTCAGTGTGAGTCAGAGCCCAGTGCCCCTGGATGCGGAGGACAGAGCGTGGATGTCATTGGCTCTGCGGGCGCACACAGTAGGTGCTCCACAAATGCTTCATAATGTGGTGAACACGACAGGCCCTGGCTGCCCTCCTGGGCTGCGGTCCCTTGGGAGCAGCAAGCCATAAGCAGACAGTAATCAGTATATCTTGCTGGTGTCAAGTGCAGAAAAGGAGATAAAATGAGGGTGCAGGAGAGAGGCGTTTAAGCTGAGCTCTGAGAGGGCAGGAGGAGAGGGCTAAGGACACGGGCATGCCTCGCTTTACTGTGCTCCACAGTACTGTTTCCCAGGTACTGCGTTGTTGGCAAATTGAAGGCTTGTGGCCACGCTGCAGGGAGCAAGTCTATTGGCGCCATTCTTCCAACATGTGTTCACTTTGTGCCACTGTGTCACATTTGAGTCATTGTCACAAATTTCAAACATTTTCACACGCTATTGCACACTTAAAAGCAAACAAACAAAAACCCAAAGTCACTGCCATTGAGTCAGATCCGACTCATAGCAACCCTCCTTGGGTTTCCGAGGTGGTATCTCCACAGAAGTAGATTGCCCAACCTTCCTCCCAAGGAGTGGCTGGTGGGTTTGAACTGCCAACCTTCTGGTTAGCAGTCAAATGCCTTAGGCACTATGCCACCAGAGTGCCTTGTTAAGTATAGCGTAAACATAACTTTTCTTTGCACTGGGCAACTAGAAAAGTTATGTGACTCTCTTTATTGCAACATTCACTTAATTGCAGTGATCTGGAACGGAACCCACCATACCTCTAATGTCTGCCTGTCAGCCAGCTGGAGGTGCTAGTGCTGTTTTTTGGCTTATCCCTGGTTGAGCCTCCTTTTCCTGGACTTTGTCTGGCTTTACCCCTTGGGGCCTGTTCTGGTTCCTAGTGCTGTTCTGACAAGAACATACTACAGATGGGATGCCTTAACAAACAGTTTATTCTGACAATTTGGAGGCTTTAAGTCCAAGTTCAAAGTGCCAAGCCCTAGGGGCTGGGTGAAAGCCCCTCAACGTTGGGGTCCAGCTCTGCTTCCTGCTCCTGGCCCACTGGAGCTAGAGGCGTTTCTTCACTCAGACAGCTGCTGGCTGCTGAGGCTGAGAAGCCCCAAGGTTGACAAGTGAAAAGGCACAGTCCCGATGTTACCAAACCACATGGCAGGCCATTAATTTAATTAAGTCCATGGTAAGTCCCAAGGTCGGCAGAGCATAGCAGGCTGCTGAACAATGACACGGCTACATGCAGGGTCCAAACGTGCCATAAACTAGAGACTATTCCCAAAGCAAACTTGCTTCTTACATATGGGAAGCAGACCACATCCCAAAGGCAGCTACTCAGCTGCTTGTGGTAGATCCCACCATGGAGTTGATCGCCAGTCTCATCATGGGGAATAACTACCACCAGCTGCCCAGCCACTCAACCAGGCCCAGCCAAGTGGACACACAACATAACCATCACAGGGCTGTCGTCGGGGTTACTGTTGCAGTTGTGCAGGTGGCCTGGCCAGGGGGGTGCAGCCCGTGACCCCTCCAAGCTGTGTGCCCTTGGGGGGGGGGCTGGTGTGTGGGAGGGGTGCCTTTTTCTAGGCAGAGGCCCTGCAGGGACTTTGGTGCCTGGTAGGAAGACGGGTCTTCAGACCCTACAGCAAGGGCCACTGTGGCAGCTGTGGGACCGGGCACTCACTTAGAAGGGCCTTGCGCCTGTTCAGTGCTCAGCTGTGACCATCTAAGAGGTCAAGTAGCTGGCCTTGCCTGCAACTCTCCCTCAGCCAGGCCTGTGGGCCTTCTGAACTGCCCACATCCACAGGGAGTGTCCCTTCCAGCCCAGAGTCGGGCCCCTGCCCGTCACTGCCTCCCTCCTGGAATTTTGGGGTCAACACTCTGGGCTAGAAAAGGGGCACAGAGGCCATCCTGCCCCATGACAGCCAGGCTTGTCTGTCATCAGTCGGCACAGAAATCAGGTCCTGCAAAATCCACGTTGAGTTCAGAGAAGATGGCCTTGATGGCTGTCAGTATTCTGGGCCCTTTCAGGGGGCTCCTCTCCAGGGCTTCCCGCTGGGGAAATGACGGAGAATCCCAAGCAGGGTCCTGAGGCCCCTGCATGGCCGCCCTCTGGCCTCATCCCTTCAGTTCCCTCTTCCACAGGTGAGGCAGAAACTGCCCAAGGCAATAGGGAAGAAACATATCTATTTTCAACCTCCTGTCTCCCCCTGGCTCCCGGGGTCGGGACCCTTGGCTGATGGCCTAGATTGGGTTTCAGGCCTCACCTTCTGGCCTTACTTCCCAGGTAACCCAAGCAGGTCAAAACAGCCACACTGCCAAAGTACTCAGCATCTGGGGCAGGTCAAGCTAATAACCTTGGCAGGAGAGCAGGGCTCCTCTCCTTGGTGCGGGCTGACACCTCCTTTGTCCCCCATCTGCTGCTCTACCTTCCTGGTAAGCAGACTCCTAGACTCCGGACAGGGCTTTTTCATCGTTCACCTGGAGGAAGTAACCTGGTGGGAGAATTTCATACTAAGGGGTGAATGAGTCCTGTAATAAGGCCATTTCCCAAATGCTGCATTTGCAGGACCTGGAGAGGCCCTGGTGGCTGGTAGTGTGGAGGAGTGGGGAGAATCGAGAAGTGGGAAGATGTGTCCTCATTTGACTCAGGCCGAGGATAGAATGACAGGCAGGGTTGCCCTCAACCCCTTTCCTGCCACTCCTCAGCCAGGTGTCACCTCTCCCAGGTGGTCATACAGGTATTTTCCTGAACCAGGAACCCTGGAGAGCCTGGACAGCATCCTCCCTGCCCTGGGAATGCCTCTCTTGAGATGCCTGGGAAGTGAGGCAGCCTTGAGCTCAAGGGAAGGAGGCTGGAGACAGAGAACAAAAGAGAGGCAGTCCACACAGTGCCCCAGTACTGAGATGGTCAAGGCACAGACTCTGGTCATCGCTAGTTCCCAGTGAAGGTGTCTGGGGCAGGTGGGGGACGCAGATTTGAGCCCTGGCTAGATGCAGATCCTGTCCCATGGCGGCCAGGCACCAAGGCCTCTGACGAAGTGAATCCCCAAAGACACAGGCAGGAGGACTGCCCCGGCAGCCTCACGTGAGGGCTGGGTGGCACGTGCCCATCTGGAGGCTTGTCTGGCATGCCAGAGGCTGATTAATATTTATGGAACCCGCCCCAGAGCTGGTGAGACGTCCGCCCACGGAGGCTGCTCCCGGCTGGCTGTGGTGACACCCGGGCCAGACATGCGGCCTGATTTCACCATCCCCCAGCTGCACGTGTGTTGTCTTCTGTGGCTGGGCCAGCCCTCCAAGAGGCCGCCACACCTGCCTTGTTGAGCCTCAGACCAGGAGCACTGGGCCCCGAGCTTCCTTGGAACAGTGCGACCAGGTCTGGTGCAGCAGGAAGGCTCAGGGGAGGCCTCCAGGTGGATGGGAGGGGGCCAGGCCAGGGCGAGTACCTGCCCAAGAGACTGTGGGCCTTTGGAGCCCGCGGGTGAGCACCTGCCCACCCCACCTGCCTCCCTGCTGTCTACCTGCCGGGACCCCCGCCCGTCAGGAACCCTGCTCTCCCCGTGGCTACAGCCCCTCCCCTCTCTGTGGGCCTGGAGATGGCAACTCTGTGGAGGGCCCGATTCAAGAGGTGGGTGACGGTTGTGCCCTCGGGAGGGTGAGGGGAGGAGGGAACACAGCCCCTTCTGGGGCTTCCGAAGTGTCGTGTGATGGACAACGTCTGTTGGACAGTCACTGCTGGAAGATGGATGGAACACTGGGGCTGTGCCAGGCATGTGCTGAGGGCTTTGTATGCATGGGCTGTGCTCACATGCCACCTGGCAGAGCAGCCTCCCCTGTCCCCCTACTTAGTTACATACATGCCCACACATCTCTGTTTTACATTTTCCCTCGGCACTTGGCACCACCTGATAGCTAATGTTTTCATCCTTATTTCACTTAAACATGTATTTAGCACTTACTCTGTGCCCTACTAAGGAGGTCTGGTGGCACAGTACCTAAGGCACTTGACTGCTAACCAGAAGGCTGGTGGTTCAAACCCACTAGCCACTCCTTGGAAGGAAGACTGGGCAATCTGCTTTCATAAAGATTTATCACCTTGGAAACCCAATGGGGGTTGCTATGAGTCAGAATTGACTCGATGGCATTGGGTGGGCTATGCCCCACTATTCTGAGCCCTTTGTACTTAGTAACTCATTTAATCCTTCCAGCAACCCTATATCTCGCTCTCTGTCACCCCATCTTACAGATGAGAAAACAGAGGCACAGAGAGGTTCAATAACTTACTCAAGGTTACACAGCTTGTTAGTGGTGAAGCTTGATACAGATCCTGGCATCTGGCTCTCAGCCTGTGCCTGGTACCACTCTCCGTGGTCTCCCTAGCTAGCAGCTCAGCTCACAAGGGCAGGGGGCTGTCTGTTTGGGCCTCTGCTCTACCCCAACCCCTAGAATGGTGGCTGGCACACAGAGGATGCTTAGTAAATACTTGTTGAATGAATGAGGCTCTCATGACAACTC